TTGATATCAGTTCAAGGAAATACCATCTAACATTTTGAAAGCTATTACAGAAAATAACAAAAATGGAATCTTTTTCTAGAAAAAAACTTATCTTTAGTCCGTTCGGAAGAACTCGTGATAGATATAAGTTAATGAGCTAAAAATTGCACTGTATAAATTTCTAAACGTCAGCTTTTGTTCCCGCACTGTAAAATAGAAAATAGATCATAGACAACAAAAAAAAGGATAGTCTAGGAATGCCCATACGAATTTAACAACAAATTTCGAGTTAGAAAATCGTAATCGTATTCATATGGACATTTCTATAATATCGAACTCGATTATACATTCTGAACATTGTCCAGAAAATAAAATATCTATTATCACTTTTTATCTTTACAAAAAAATTGCTCTTTCATCTCTACACCACTTTTGTTTATAATCTTAACTCTCCCTATAGACCAAAAGCGTAAGTATAGTTAAGAAAAAATTAATCATTACTTAAGATATTATAATTTAGCATTATTGAAAAGAAAATATAATTATCTTACAAAGATTTTCGCATTTATATATATATATATTATAGAAGGAGACTGTGGTTTTATACAAAAGTAACATCATAGCTACTGAGAAAATGCTCCGATATACCTCACTAAATATGCAGAAGTTCTAGTGGAGATGTAATTATATAAGATAAACACTTTTGTTTTGAGAGAAATATGTCAAAGTGAACAATCAATTTTGAATGCAAGCGACGATATACGAAAGACATCATATAGTTCAAAAACAAAAACAATGAGAAATATCATAAACATTTTCAGAAAAATAATCATATCTACTCTCTCTCATCACCAACAAAAAATAATTTGTTGCTTCTTTTCGTTATTATACGACGGACTAGTATGCGCTAGCTGCACTTTATTAACTAACATATTCGAGGCAGCTGCCAAAGAAGAAAAGTACTCTCGTTACTGTCAACTGACTTATATATGTGACTAAACAATAATTCTATAGTCGTCATTATTTGAATAATATTTCAGAAAGTAATATTGATTTTCCCCTTTTTGTAGAATTTAGATTGACTTTCTGTAAGATTGAAATCAGCTTTCAAACATCATTAAAAATTGTTGTTAATCTTTCAATTTGTTCGAAAATAATTTTTTTTTTAAGAAAATCAGATTGAAAGTCTATCTTCGAAAAGTCAAGCATATTCTGAAAATTACAAAATCGTTTGACAATTAATACTAATTTGAAAATGTTCAACCTTTTGCTAACTCGATTTCCAAAACAGAATTTATTCAAAATTTACCATGCAATAATAAAAGAGAGAGAAGAAATAAATCTTTTAACGAGTATAGCGCTATTAAAAACTGCTTGGCTATCTCATGAAACGTTTCTTATGTGAGTTGAAAATAACGTATACTCACGTACCCCAAATGGAACTGAAATGTATGAATTATGTTTTATGTGTGTTCGCAGCTAGCTTTACTACTTATTTATCGATCACGAAATTGTGTGGTTGTTTTTCCACTTGTGTCTCATTGTGTGTACCAATGAAGCATAACATTTTCATACGATGGGTAGTTGGTTTCGTAAGGATACACTCATAATCGCACATGTTCGTTTTTTTTTCACCATATTCTTTCTTCATACATCTTTTTCTTTCTTTGTATTATGTGTCTGTATATCAAGAAAACGTACACAGATATGCCTACATGCCAGCGTATTCAAGGTGGATATCGAAAATTTTTTTATCATAGAGAAAAAGCGAATCAACAGACCTTTCATCAAGAGAGCAAGAGCTGAAATCAGTTTCTTTTTTGATTCAACTGACTTTTTTTTTATTAAGAAAGCAAAGGTAAACACTTGATTTTTTAAAATTTTCTGTCAACTTTAAATAAAAAAAAAACTAATTTAATCAAAAAATCAGTGTAATCAAAAACTGTAGTAAAATCAGAATAATCGGAAAAATCGAACAATATTCACAGACAAATGCTGCCCTTTATTTGATGATTTCTTTCTTATAATTATCACGATTGCTCTACTGTCTCCATTCACTAATAAATAGAAAAATACATCAATTTAGGAATAGAGAAAAAGAAACGGTCAAGTATCTCGAATAGTGACTCTATTGAACAGACATATTACTTGTAAAAGAGAAGAAAATATTTTATATATATTGTATGAAATAAATTAAAGAGAAGATCATGATTAAAATAGCCTCCTCATTATCCGAATTAGTCAAGGCTACCTTCCAATAAATACATATATCGAGTTCGAGTTGACTAATATTGTTGGAGGAATGTTCAATGATTATTATGCATTTATATCCACACGTTAAGATGATAGAATCTAGATCTCTAAATGCTTTCCTACACTTCAATTATATTGTAGCATTACGTCATAGTGTTTCTTTGTCAGTGTTGTTATTTAAATAATGATCATAATAAGAACAATGTCGACAATGCTTTCGTCAAACTAACGATAAGAAGATATACCAGGTGAACAGCATATGTATGAAGTTTGCAAAGTTATAGAAGTAATGAGTTCAATGAAAAGTATTTCCATATTCTTTTGTAAGAAGAGATTAATTTAAACAAGACTCGGAAACAACCCGTTTTCTATATGGTAATGGTATAGTTTTTTTTCTGTTACAGAAGATACGAATAAAGAAATCGTCCTTTTCATTTGCCAAAAAAAAATCATATTAGAATCTTTAATTAAGGGTGTGAATATGAGCTTTCGTTGAATGAACATCAAAATCCACATTCACACCCACACCTGCACCCTTGATTATAATAAAAGTCTTTGCATATTTTAACTGATAGAAAACCAAAAAAAAACTAGTTCTAAAGAATTTAAATGTTTCCAAAAATGATATTCTGAGACTCGATCATTCGCGCAGATTATGATTAATAATAGTTCTAATTCAGCATAATGACATATGTGATACTTACACCATTCCTTCAATCACATGATGGCAGTAGCTATGAATATCTCTAATACGTATTGTATTGCTCTATAATATATACATTCATCTAACCTTTGACGATCTTGTCTCATAATAGGGTGAACGTTTGTAAGCTATTCATTTTAATTTATTGATCTGTAAAGTCAAATTTAATATTTATTATGATTACCAAAATATTTTTAAAACAGTCAAAATTTTTATTTCTCTTTTTATTCAATAGACAAATATCATTCCATCCATCGGAAAATAAATCTCGATGTTTAATATATTATTTGGAAAAATCCATTTTATATTTCAATAAATAAATTAATTTTATTGTTTATGTTCTTTAATCCAACACAATTTAAGATGATTAAATCTAATGTAACTTTCTCGACGTTCAAGTGAATCTTTTTTCATAAATATCTTTATAATATGAATATGTTATACATCGACGTGCACAGTTGGTCATATCAATTTCAGCTAATTCTTTTTGTTGTTATTGAAATGAATTATCAGCTTTTAATGATATTGTTGGTAAATATTTTTGACATGAATCTTTTTTTTTCAACTTGTCTAGTTAAACGATGAAATGTTTCATTGAATTGACGACGACGTATAAAAGAGATAGAAGGACTTTTTCTGTTATTCATTGTTGAAAATGGCAAATCAACAAGTAAACTAATTAATAAAAGAAAAACAAATCGAACAATCATTTAAACAGATTAAAATAAAAGAAATGCAAAATATCAAATCATACAGCAAATATAATCTTAAAACTTTTTTCTTATTAACAAGACAAAAATCAAGAGAAAATAAAACAACACGTCATAGAGAAACCATATTTTTCATTCTTAAGTTCTTCTACGAAACGAGAATAGCTACTGATGATAAAATAGAAAAAATGCTTTCATTAACAGAAGTTTTCAAACTGAATGATTTTGTTCTAGATTAAAAGAATAGCATGAACAATTTAAAAAATGAAATAAAAATAGGTAATAAAATTTAGATCAATATGGACCTTCTCTTCGTTTGCATCCATACATCGATTCCTTTAACTTTAGAAGAGCAAAAATACTGAAAATGGAACAATGGAATTAAAAGCACTAAAGGAACGAAGATATTCTTAACGCTTTAAAAGGTGTGTAAGCAGAAAAGCAAAACGAGGTAAACTTTATTTTTCGTGAATCTATATTATTATTATGTTAAATGTTCTCGATTTCGTCAGAAGTTGAATTTTAAATTATATCTAGTTTTGTTGTAGCTATTTATAAATTGAATGACAATGAAATAAAAATAGTCTTGTTGATATTAGGAATTTGTAGTTTCAGTGTGACGGACCATCGATGTCATTGACTCAGTGTAATTAGTGTACACTCCACTAGTGTTCGCCGAAGCATTGGAACACACCCGCTACAAAGGATATTTTGATAGACTCGGTATTTCAATGTTTCAGCAGACACAAGAGGATGATGACTAGTCATCTGCATTGCGGCTACGATCGTGACCAAAAAGAAAGAAATTTTTTTTACAACAGTCTTGTTATGAAAAGCTATTGCAAAAAGTTTTCTTCTTTTTTGTTTTCTGGTCACGATCATAACCATGATACAGATCTCTACTGACGACTTTCTTCTTCTATAATCTGTTCACAGTACATTTCTCCTCCCGATTTTGAAAACTATCCACATAAGGCCCTTTATCTAAAACTCGATCATTCTGCATGTCTCCTGCCTGACTCCAGTGCTAAATTACGCCTCTGGACTCATTGTCAGTATTTACACCAATAATATACATTCCTAGTGAATCTGTAACAGAGACTATATCTAAATAATAAGAATCTAGATTAATGAAAAGTCTTTTATTTTATCCGCAGTCCTGGTTCATGTAGAACTGATCTAGCGCCATCTATCATATGTAAAGAACAGAAATATCAATGGTGTTTTTGGATATTCAATCGAAGTTAGGCCTTGTCAGTCAGTCATTCATTCGTTGTTATTATCAAATAGTGTTTAAACTTAGTCATTTATTTATTTGGATTAAAAATAAATGAACTGAATATAAATTAAACAAAATGGATAAACTTAGTAAATCACTTGAAGTTTTAAAATTACTTTCAACAACAACATCAGAAACATTAGTAGCAAATAATGAAAAGTATAAATTCAGTTTCTTTATTATTTTCTTTTTTTTTATAATCTTTTATCTATGATTTTCTTTTTCTTTTTGTACTTCTCGCAGATCTCGATTCGATCCAACATCAATAAGTAAAGAAAAAATTCATCATTTAAATAATATAACTGAATTACTTTGTTCATCATCATTGATTAAGTAAATAAATCGGTTTTTTCTTTCTTTTTCTCATTTTATTTTTATCTCTTATCGAATGTTTTTTCTTTTTTTCTCATCTAGAAGTAACAATGAGAATTATTTTAAATTACTTACAGCTAGTGTGGAAACATTATTTACAACATGTGATGAAAATGATTATGACGTACGATTAGCTGCTGAAGAAAATCTTAATAAACTTGTTAAAGTATAAAAAGAAATCTTTTTTCATTCATTTTATTGTATAATTATTTTCTTTTGTTTTTCTTGATATTATAAAATAGAATTTAAAAGAAGCAAATTTAACAAGAATTCAAGTTGAATTACATCGAATTATAAAACGTAATCCAAATGTTGGACCAAGAGCTTTAAAAGGTTATTTTTATTATTTAACTTGAATTTATAATAAAGATTTTTTTTTTAAACATTTCAATTAGGTGCTCTATGGCGATTTGCTGAATTAGCAAGTGTAATACATCCAAAAAAGATTCGACCATTTTTTGAACATTTATCAGCAGCATTTTATTCAATAGCTGCTCGTCCAGAAGATATTGTTCATGAAAAATTATC